TAACTGAAACTGCTCTCTTTGTCTCTCGTGCCAAACGTCTTATGGATTGAGTTGGATCTTTTCTAATCTATCTGTTTGGTTCTAAGTTGAAATGATGAACCCTTTTCCTGCTCCAGTTTTCTCTGTTGTTTCCTGGCTTTTAAAATTATTCTCTGTTCTCTTGATTCTTGCATGGACTTTGAGGACAGATGCCAGAATATGAATATTGGTATCATTAATGAGGGCCTGAATGATCTTTTTCCGCTCAGTTGGGAAGTCAGTGGAGCTGACACAGAACTATTTAACCTGTTCTCTTTCTAGCTGAATAACTCAAAGTGTTTTTTCAATGATGCTTACGACAAATGGTGTCAAGATGGCTAAACGCGTTATCTGAAAACCTGGAAAAAAGGAACTCAATCAGTTTAATGTTTTTTTTTTTTTTTTTTTTTTTTTTTTTTGCTATTAAACATTAATTATACTGTTACACGATTTGGACAATTTTGCTGTTACATCCGGTATAGGGAACTCTGAGAAAGCTGATCCGTGGTTTGTTTAAATACCTCTTATAGACGGTCAAATGGCTGGAACTTTCATATGGAAAATGATTGTTATTTGACTAGACGGTGTCCATAGATTTGCAGCGCTAATCTCTGAGTTCAAACGAAGTCGCCATTCTAATGCTCTAGACTGAGCGGCTTGGTGAAAGTAGTCTTGGCTCCCGGGGGCACAGTCCTATGGTTAGAGAGAAACTCAGTAGAGTTCTACCACGGAATATGTGAGCGAGTGGCGCTATACTGAGTCTGATTAGTCACTGAGGCCCGTTGGAACAGTTGGTATGATGTTTGCTTGACAACCTAACTAAAATTAACACAGAAAAATGTACAATAAAAGGAATTGTAAAAAAAAAATATGAAAAAGGAACTAGAGACAAATGACAGCGAGTCCCAACAAACACTCACGTTGTTTGTGTTAATTATAAATCTCCCGTTGAAACCTGAAGAGCGGGATCGAAACCGGTTGATTCACCCGCCTTTTTTTCTTTTTTTTTTTTTAAATATGTCTCGTAATATTAAGTTTTATACTTTTATTTCGATCAATAAATTTTGTACCTACAAAAATATCTTTAAATATATATATATATATATATATATATATATATATATATATATATATATATATATATATAAGGATCTGCAATGTAATCTGTCCAGACTTGGCATACCGACTTCAGTCATTTTATCAGCGACGTGACGTGGCTTCCCCTGTCTTTTCTACAATTTTCATGGCAATTACTCTGACGGGCTTTTTTTTCCCTTCGTGCGTTTTCTAAATGAATTTAAGCATGTTACTAGATTGGCGTCTCGGTCCCACCCGTTCACCGTTGAAATAGTTAAATGCAACCGCCACTTCTACTCCAACATTTTCTTTTCTCGCACTTCCTGCCTGTGACGCACACTTCCGTTTAAATTTTTGAAGTGTGTAGTTATTAAACTACAGTCTTCAAAAATTTAAATGCAGCGTCAATCGACGTCTTCTATCTTCTTGAATCCCGTCCAGCTTTTATCCTTTTCCCCTACACTCATTCTTTTCTCTCACATTCATTCCCTGTAAACCCCTGAGTCTTAGTGGCATTCCCGGATCGCTTGAGATGAAATGATTTTTTTTTAAATGTAAATATTTATATATTTATAACAACGCAAATTGTGCAGATGTGGGTGACTAAGCGTTTTACACATCAAGAAATGGGATCGCTACGTCAACCTTTGACTGCTATATGTAAATTGGCATTGCACTATGTCATCGGGTGAGAATAAACGTTGCTAGTGATATTCGGAAGATACTCAGAAAATGAGAAATTCCTGTTCATTAATTATGTCAAATTGTTTACAAAAAAAAGTAGTTCTTCCCAGATAATTAAAGCTATTCTCGGAATAAAATTTCATTTTCTTTCCAACATTTCTGTATTATAATTTTTGCGTTTGCAAAATGGTATAATTGGAATCGTTTTTTAATTGCTTGTAAGGAAAATTCTGGGAGAATCATTATTCCGGTATGAACTGAAGATTGGCAACTTCTATTAAAAGCAAAATTTCCGAAGTATATTGCATTCATTTGGACACCTCGACACGGTTTAATGGTTACCAAGCTTGTCTCGCTAGAACGATTAATACTGAGAGGTGAGGTCGATCCTCATTGGGTTCTCCCTACTCTCGGCCTTGTGCCACATCTAAGCTACGCTTGGAGAATAACTGGGCACCTCAGTGTGGTGTAATGGTTAGCAAGCTTGTTTCGCTTAAACAGTTACGATTGGAGATTGAGTTCGATTCTCACTGAGTGCCCAATATTTTCGGCCTTGTGCCACATCTAAAGTTCGTTTAGAAAATCAGTATATTGAATATTTTAGATATTTTGAAACTACAGCCAAATAAAATAAAAAAAGTTTTCGATTTTGAAAGACGTGAGAAAACCGTTGAAAACTGGGGACGATTGATGTTACGGAAAAATTCAGGAAGAACTTCTGTACATTTCGCCATTTCCCAAGTCGGATGTTCTTCTTTTGAAAAGTATCATAATTTGAAGATCGAAACCAGTGAGCTGTTCAGCCATACAAGAAGTGGAGAAAGAAAGACGAAAGTTCATTGGAAATAACTTTTAAATGACGAATCACAGGTTCGAGTAGCCATTAATCAATCATAAAAGAACCAATCAAATTTAAATATTTACCCGAGAGTCAAATGTCTATTTAAGATCAAGAATATTTAAAAAGAAATTTATTCGAGGTTATTCAGGGTCAATTATTCCAGAAAGCCTGGATGCTTCTGCCTATATATATATATATATATATATATATATATATATATATATATATATATATGTGTGTGTGTGTGTGTGTGTGTGTGTGTGTGTGAAAAACATATAGAAAATAGGAAAGAACTCGTTAGGTAAATAATCCAAAGTGTTCTTTAGTTATTATTTTTTAAAAATAGTGCTCGATACAAAAATAGAGCATGAATATAATCATTTATTTAAAATATTATTCCAACACGCTACATAAGAGTTCTCATGTTTCAAAACAAGAGACGAAAACTTCAGTATTTCGCTTGAAGATGGAACGGAGCTTAGTACATTAATTCAATTTAATTCAAATAATTATATTGAAGTTTTCGGCTCTCGTTTTGAAACATGAGAACTCTTCAGAGTTTGTCTATATTTCTGAGAACTCTTATGTAGCGTGTTGGAATCATATTTTTAAATAAATAATTATATATATATATATATATATATATATATATATATATATTGTGTGCATAACAATTGAGTGAAAGTATGCAAAATTTTGGCATGAGACACATGGAAGTCATGATACCATTCATGTACACACGCAAAAGCCTACCCCGCTGACAAACTACAAATGAACTTGCTTTTTTCCCCCTCTCTGCGTACTACGATAAAAGCGAAATGCGTGATGGGAAGTAGCGACAAAAAGAAACAGGTGCATAACTGAAAAGAGAAAAAGAGGGAGAAGGGAAAACAGAAAAGGGATAGAGAGAGGAGATAAATATGTGTCAGACAAAACTTGGCCGAGGTTTATATTTTATTTCAGTTTGAATTGAACTTCACATTATATTACTTTTCTTCAAGGTGTCTTGGATTGTGGGATCAACCATCACTAGCGATGATGTTTTAATTTCTCAGCAAATTTGACTGTGAAGGACAGCCAAGGTGTGACACAAAAGCAAGCGTACAAAAGCTATGTGTGAGTGCGTACACACACACACACACACACACACACACACACATAAACAATGAGAGCAAGATACGGATATTTTTCCTGAGGCGTTTATAAATTGTACACTGTTCAATTATTAACGGTAACAACGAACCATTTTAAATTACAAAATTGTACTTGGTTTACAGGAAAATTACTTACAATATAATGCATATTACTTATAATAAATTCCTTCTTGCCGTCGCTTTTAGCGGCATAAGCACACACACACACACACATATATATAATAGCAATTATTAGGATTATTATTTGATAATTATATTTTAGTAATTCATCGAGTCTGAAAGAATCCTTAACAGAATGCAGAAAGCACTGGACGGGCGTTTTGTCCTATATTTGGGACTCATCAGCAGTGCGCATCCACTACCGAGAATTGAAACCCTGACAGCTAGGTTTTCAAGCAAACATCATACCAACTGTTCCAACGGGCCTCGATGA